GCGACCAGGCAACGCCTACAACAAAGAAACTAATACGATCTAACCCAAGGGCGGCGAGCGCGAAGGCTTGCTAACGCCGAGCGTAGACTTTCAAGTCAAATCTAGCCCAAGGACCAAGTTAATATTATGCTGACTAAGAGAATACAAAGGACGGCTTACCTAGCCCAAGGACCAAGAGGTCAAGATGAGGGCTAGGGTCGCTACAGGTGGGGTTTATATACTGGGTCAGGGGAGCCAAACATGTACAAACGTAAAGGTGGTCTGTGCGCACATTAGTGCCAGTCTGCAGGTGGGGGTCAGGTGACTGGTCACATGCTTCTAACTACTGGTTCTAAGTCTAAGTGTCGTACAAATGGCCGTAGAAAATAAGGAAAAATGCGGAAAAATATAGGGGTCTCGTCGTCTCCACGACAAAGGACCTGCTCGTCTTCATCACCTCAAGGTTCATGGCCTGCTCTTCAAGTTGGCGGATAGCCAGGCGGCGAGTCTCTGCGCGAAGCGCATTCAAAGCGAGCTCGACGTCAGCAAGGTGGTTTAGCATGGTGCGAAGCATGAGAGGGGTAGCAGACGAAGCCGTCTGCGAGGACTTTATACCCTGGCAAGATCGCAGATCGCATCAATGTTGACCGGGGACGGTCGAAAGCTCAGTGGGGGGGAGGTGATACACCCGGTACCGAGCCACCACCCGCCTGGCCTTCTTTTCGTGGTTTCCGCGGGTTCGCGAGACCTCAACGGGGCAGAGGCCTCATTGCGGCGCGGGCGTGGAAGCTTCGCACTCGCGCGGAACGACTTATCACGCGATATCACGACCGCATGGGCAGACACGCGCGGAGGGGGTGCGTTCCGCATCACCGGACCGGCGGGGCGCAGGGGCGTGTTCCGCGTTTACGCGGTAGACGGCTGGTGCATCGCGGGCGCCGGTCCCCTCCGCGACAGACGTTCCGTAGAGACTTTCTGATCACTGTAGCACGGTTTTGGCTGGCCCTGTAAATACCTACGCCCTCGGGCTGTGAGAATTCAGACCCCCCCTTGGCTCAGATTTCACCTTCTCTCACGAAGAACCCTCGACGACCCTGCGAACTGCGAACTGCGAACTGCGAACTGCGAGCTCTGCGAACCCCTGCAAAATAGCGTTTAGCGTTGCGAACTCCCTGCGAAGCCTAACACGGGCTGTGAAGAGGCCCTCCCGCGTCCTGCGGAACGCCAGCTCAGCTGAGTTGTCATCAGTCCACCGTCCTTCCCTCTTCCGCTCCCTCTACTGTGTTCTCCCACGTACTGCGCCGCCCGAAGGGCACCCGACATGAACCTGCTTCTCCTGGCGCTTCGTGAGACGTTCCGCAGCCCGGTCTCGACCTCCTAGGGCTCTCGACCGTCTCCTTCTTCCGTCCTTACCGGTCGGTTGAGTGCATCAGCGGGTATTTCCTTTACCTATTTTATCTATTGGCTCAGGCCCTTCCTGTATATATGTGGCCCCCAACCTTTTAGGCAATCCAGATTCCCTTACCCCTACATATCTCAAGAGCCTGCGACGGTGACAGCAACTGCGACTGCGATAGTGATTGCGACTGCGACCATGTTCCGACATGATAACACGTACCCCAAACATACCCCGAGTGCCCCCGCATTGAGTATGGCCTACTCCTTCCCCTTTTCATTGGTCAGGAGCGATAAGCTCACTCAACCTTCCCCTACGTGTCCGCCGTGCTTGTAGGGAACTTGGACCCTTGCTCAATTCTCCTCACCTATTACAAATTACTTCTCGGGTCTCGTCCTCTCGGCCCTATGACCGTGTTGTCCTAGCAGCTGTTACAGGAGGCTTGAGTGCATTAATACACCTCTGGACACATCAGGGGGTTTACAGTTGCTTTCCAAAGTCAATCAAAAAACCCACATAACCAATGAATGATATACCTCTGATTAGGGTGGGAGGTTCTCCCTGATGACTACTGATCTCATCCTTCTGCAATTAAACTTGCACCTATTCTTTTCCAGCCTGCCTTAGTGAACCCATATACATGGGTTACACTCATTGCTTTACAAGGTCAATCAAAAAAACCACATAACCGGAATTACATGATTTATTAATTACAGTGTTTGCACAGACATAATCTAATTGCTTCAGGTAATCATACACAAAAAGAATGAAGCCAATAGGACCTATGGTTGCTGAGATATTGCTTTTGCAGTGGAGAGGGGCAGAACCTAGGGAGGGGTGCCAGAGGTCTGAGTCTGGGGCAGGTTGATTAGATGCCAA